ATTGACAGGACATTGTTTCCCACTTTCATATAAAAGTTAGCATAGCTCGTGTTTTTTCTTGCACCTCAGAAATGAAAATAAGGAAGACGCTGATTTTTTTTCCCCCAAACAGAACACTACAGATACTTAGAGCAGCAGCAAAAAGTATGTTAATGTTTCAGAAATATACCTGGTTTTCTGCATCAATTGGTTATAAAATGTGATCAGACCTTCAAGTCACAAGTATATACAAGCACAGTGTGCTTAAGCTAATAGCACATAAACAAGTGTAATCTTTTATGCCTTTATTGAACGCACCCATTAAACATTCACAGTACTGCTGTGAAACCTTGAATTTAATAACACCTCCAACATCTTTTGGCAGCAGTGACCTCAAACAAGTGCTTCCTGTAGCTTTGAATCAGACCTGCACAGCCTTTAGACATATTCTTTGGGTGTCTGGTGTAGTTGAGGCCCTTCCACAGCAGCTACCTGGGCTCTGATTGGGCCACATCAAGATGAGAATTTTCCTTGTTTGAAGTCATTTTATAGTAGATTTACTTTGATGTTTAGAGTCATTGTTCTGCTATATCACCTAACTTCTACTGAGCTTCAGCAGCAGACAGCCACCCTGACATCATCCTGTAAGATAACCTTGGGAATTCATTTTTCCCTGGATGATGACAAGCTGTCCAGGCAGGCCCTGAGGCAACGTGGGCCACCGTACTTTACTATAATATTTTCATGTTGGTGTGCAGTGCCTTTTTTACACCTCATGTAGTGTAGTTCTTCCCAAGCAGGTTTCATCAGCCCACAAAACATTTTCCCTGTAGGGACTTGAAATGTCAAGGTGCTCCTTGGTAAATTTCAGATGCAGTGATAATATTTTGTGGAAAATAGTGGCTTCCTCCATGGTGTCCTGCCATGGACAACATGCTCCACTTAACCAATTGCCATGAACAAAGATATTAACCAGCTCCAATGATTCATTTTTAAGCCTTTACTCGTTAGTCTTAACTAGAGTAAAGTGTCTCCATTTATAGACAGTTTGTTGAACTGTCTTGATCATAAGTCTTATGTTTTTGCAAGACATAGTTCACTACACTAGATGTTTCTTGAGAATAACAATTTCAAAATGTTTGAGTGCTTTTCGTGAGTCAGCGTAGCTCTAACCCACACCCCCAGTCTTATTACATTACTTATTACATCTTGCTAACATTTGACTCCAATTAGCTTTTGCTAAAGTCATTAGCCTAGGGGCTCACATACTTTTTTCCAATCAACACTGTGATTGCTTGAATAATGTAAACAAGCACAAGTGTGTTATTAGTTAAAATAGATTGAGTTTGTTCATAACTTTAGACAAAGTTTTGACCACTTTAAGTCAAATGTATATATACAGCCAGGTATGTGGAGTACTTGGACGGTGACCCCACTACAATGGACTTGAGATGATGCAGTCAAGTTGTTATTGAAGTGTATAGTTCCCCCATTTTTAGAAGCTCAAAGGTAACTGGACAAACTAAATACTGTATAAACAGTATAACCATTTTGTTTAATACTTGTATGCAAATCCTTTGCAGTTGATGACTGCCTGAAGTCTGGAATGTATAGACATCATCAAATGCTGAGGTCCCTCCTTTGAGATGCTTTGCCAGGCCTTTACTGCAGCTGCCTTCAGTTGTTGCTTGTTTGTATGTAGGTCTTTCTGCTTCAGTAAGCGAAAAGTATGTTCAGGTGGGTTGAGGTCAGGTGAGTGACTCGGCAATTAAAAAAATATTCCATTAATTTGCCTTGAGAAGCTCCTGGCGTGCTTCTTAGTATGTTTTGGGTCATTATCCATCTTTACTGTGAGTAGATACTGTTTTATACCTCTACACACTTAAGAATTCATCCTACTATTTTTATCAGCAGTCACATCATCAATAAACACCAGTCATCCAGTTCCACTGGAAGCCATACATCCCCCTGCCATAACATTGCCTCCACTGTGTTTGACAGATGCTTTGGATCATCTCCAGATTTCTCTTCCCATCATTCTGGTACAAGGTAATCCTGGTGTTATCCCTCCAAAGAATCTTGTTCCAGAACTGTGCAGGCTTTCTCAAATGTTTTCTGACAGTCTAATCTGCCCTTTCAGTTCTGGAGTGTTACCAGCAGTGTACAGCTTGGGATGAATGGTTGTATTTACATTCATGAAGGTGCATCTTGACTGTAGACTTTGACACTAGTAAGCCTACCTCCTTGAGAGTGTTCTTGACATGGGTAGATGCTGTGAAGATGTTTTTCTTCACCAAAGAAAAAATTCTACAACCATCTTCTTTAGTTGTATTCCATGATCTTCCAGGCCTTTTGGCGCTTCTGAGCTCACCAGTGCATTCCTTGTTTTAGAGAATGTACCACATTGCTGATTTGGCCACTCGTAAATTTTTTGCTATCTGATAGGTTTGTTTTATTTTTTTATGCCTTATGATGGCCTCCTTCACTTGCACTGACACCTCTTTGCCCAGCATATGGAGAATTGCAGTGGACAGCAGTCAAATGCACATTCAGCAACAACGCTAACACTTGGAATCAACTCCAGACCTTTTATTTGCTTAACATGAAATAACAAGGTGCCATGCTACACCTGGTCATAAAGGTGCTTGTCAGTCAACTGCCCAATTACTTTTGAGCTTGTGAAAATGAGGGAACAGCTGTATGTATAAATATGGCTGCAATTCCTAAACAGTTAATGCAATATGTTTGTTAGACCCCTTGAATTATAGCTAAGAGCCTACATTTCAGTAACATCTTAACTGCTTCATTTCAAATCCATTGTGGTGGTATACAGAGACAAAATTACAGCAATTGTGTTACTGCCCAAATACCCATGTATGGCAGGTAATTCTAAAAGGTTCACTTAGCTATTATGTCTTCTGAAGTCCATATTTCTAGAGCATCTCCCTGTGAGCATGTTTTATGTCAATGAAAGTCTTCTGAGACATGTTACTGTGTATTTCAAACAGCACAGGAATCAATGATTGCACTTCAGTAAACAAACAAATATTTGCAGTCCTGAAACAAATATCCATAGCATGCCCTGCACCCTGTGGATTTACTGTGTGTTAAATGGTTTATTGGTGTTTTTACCTTTACCAGCCATTTTCTCAACACATTCATCCGATACCATTTTGACCCATTTAATCTGCATGGCATCTCTTAATGCAAGAAGCTTTTCGGGAAGTCAGGAAGACCGCCACGCTATCCAGCTGGGCTGTGGTTGTTGAAGTTCTGAACATATGCCTCAGGAAAATGAATAATGCATCCATGTTATTCAAGCCTTCATTTTGATTTTTTTATTTCCATTTTAACCCCCCCCCCACACACACACACACACACACACACACATTTTTATGCCTTCATATCATATGTCACATTTCTGCTGTTCCGCCGTGTTTAACTTCATGATGTGTAAGTCTTGCTGCTTTTAAACAGCTCTACAACCCTGAAGCCACAAAGGTACTATATGTGTACCTGCACACATGCACCCGTGTGCCCTGAACATATTATCTGTACTCAGTGTTGTGCTACAAGTTAACTTCATAAACTCTAGGCTGAACAGGAAATGTGACTTGATAACGTGGCTGCCAGATAACCTTGAGATCTGACGTGCTTCTCTGAACAGATGACACACTGTGCATCAGTCTCTGCTACTCGCTGTGCCACTTGGCAAAAGGTCGCCCAGTGGAGACGTGGCTGTTTACCGCAGTGGTTGCGTCACAATGAGAGCTCAGAGACATGTGGTGCAGCAGGATCGGAGCATTTACAAGTCAAGAAAAAAGGCTCCTTGACCGTTCCGATGAAATGGAAAAGAAGGGAAATGCAACAGCAGAAAAATGAAAGGAGTCACAAAGTGGTTTTCTTGTTATAGCTGCCATTGTTTCACTGCTCTCTATGCTGGTTTTGTTGGCCGTCTGCAGCCGGCTCACAGAGATAAGGTTGTACAGAGAAATGGCTCATAGTGAAAAATATATGACAGATATTTACTTGGCCCACTGCTGTTCAGACACTGTCAAACATTTTTGCCTAATATCCAGTCACATGCATACTAATTGCATTATAAAATCTGTACGTCTGAATGTGTGCCAGAATTTGCTGTTGTTGCAAGTTTTTCTTTTCTGTGTCGGATAACCACAAAAAAGGCGGTGAAAAATGAGTAGATATGGAAAATAAGCTTATTGTACATACAGTTTCCAATTGTATTGTCCCTGGCCTAATGAAATACCAGAAGTGTGCTTAAATTTCATTAATAACCTTCATGTTCATTCTTAACCATTGTACACTGGAGGAGAGTTAGGTCATTTTTATTTCAGCTTGATCTATATGCGATTTAACCCTCCAGAAATAGGACTACATTATTCATTGTGTGGTATGATTTGACTACAGTCTTCTTGAGCATTCTGTTAAATGAAAATATTTCACGTGTGAATTAATCATTAGAAAGGCTCATTCCCCATTCTTCTGGTAGCAAAACGATCTTTTTCCACCAGTGGCCTGAATGAATCTTTCATTGTCTTTGTCTTTAAATGAGTTGGCGCAGTCCTCCAAGGAGACAGGGCGTGCAGTGTGTTTCACCACATTGTCAAAGTTAACATGTGGCTGAGCTAAATGCCGTAATTTAATTGATGCCAAATGCAATAACATCACCCGCTGATCTTTTAATAATGTCGAGATATGATTCCTGTCCTTCCACTTCATTATAATATTGCCTTTTGAAAATGAAAATATAAATTCACACACTCTTAGACACTGGCATGCAAAATCTAGACTCTAGACAAGATTTTAGTGGGTCTGCAGACTTTGCAATGTGATTTTAGATTGTAATGAGATGGCCTTTAGCCTTTGGATTCAAGGAAAAACCTCTCTGGAATAAATTAGCAGCCACTCAGTTCTTGCATAATTGTTGCTGTGTGCCAGCCTCTTTTGTGTCTGATCCTCTGGGTCACTCTCTCTTTATCTGTATCTCTCCCTTTCACTAGGTTTCTCTATACTGCAGGCCATCATGGAGGCAGCAGTAGCCAACAACTGGCAGGTGACCGCTCGCTCTGTCAGCAGCACAACAGATGCAGCAGAGTTCAAGCGCATCATTGAGGAGATGGACAGGAGGCAGGAGAAGCGCTTTGTGATTGATTGTGAGGTGGACAGAATCAACACCATATTAGAACAGGTGAGCATGTGATAATACCTGTTGGTTACACAATAAACCACTTGTCCATGTAACCGTTTTGTTACTTCCTGCTGTGGTCACAAAATCACCAAGCTGATTTCATGTGCAAAATAAGAAGCCATTCCTCTGAAAGCAGTTTGTTTTCTGTGGCTCTATAGGAGCTTTGTCAGGTTTGAGAAAATTAATTTGATGACATTATTTGAGTTGTTTTGAGTTGGGTTCAAAGACTAATTTATAATTAAAGTGAGGACACTCAGTGCATGTACCTCCACCAAGACAACATTCACTCATGATATTCAGAACAACACAAAATGTGTACTAAAATCCTTGATCCAGATCGGATCTGGAACATCTTTTAGGGTATGCTAGGCAGTTGTATTGTGCATCTTACCTGAACATTTCAGGCGTCTATCTTCATTATAGGCTAGGTCATCACAGAAAATATGTATTAAATTTAGATGGCTGTCAGATCTGGAATCAGCATCAGATTCTAAACTAACACCTTTGGGCCCACCTAAATGTTAAATAAAAGCATGTGAAAAAAAATTTGATTATGCATTTGTACCCTTTCTTTCATCAAGACAGAGCACAAGCTGCATTCCATTCATAATAAATAAATGAAAATATTTATACATCATTGCACAAAATAACACAGAAAAGCAGATCAAGAGCCATGGTAAATAATGAATACCCTGCAGATGTCCGACATCACCATGCCATGTGCGTCACTCACTGTTCACTTACAATTTCCTCAAATGATCAAGTTTCACAGATATACATTTGCTCCTATCATGGGGATACATTCTATCAATTTTTGTATTTTATGATGGTTTGATCATGACCAAAGCAGCTGTATGTGTAGTTAGATAAAGTGGGTGATCCAATTAACAGGCTCCACGGTCTAGACCTTACAGTATTATAGAGAAAGCAAGCACTTGGCAAATGTAGAAAGAAAAAAACTCCCTTTAATGGGTCAGAAAACATCCAACAGAACCAGGATTTTAGTGGATGGTCATCTGCCTTGACAAGCTGGGGTGAGGGGATAGCATTTTTGTGACTTTTTATTTATTGTTTTGGTTTTAGGCCCTGCAGCTGTAGTGATCTGTTCCACTCTCACTATTCTCAGTGCTGTTGTTTTAAGCCACAGCAGGCAGCGGTTTTCAGAAAAAAATGGGTGAATATAGTGGAGTGTTTAGCAGCTAAGAGCCAGATTATGCCCTCAGGAGTACCAAAAACAGAGCTATATAAAAGGATAAATAGTTTTTACATGTGTCACTGCATAACAACTTTTAAAGGTGATCTATCAGTGGCTTCCTCTAAACGGGCAAATAAATTGCTGGATTGGCCCTTTGATTGATCTGGGGAATCATTCCATCTATAATTCACTATTCAGTTTTGGTTGTTTAACTTCCATAAAGCTTGACAATGCGTTAATTTGAATGAGAGGCACAGCAGTAATGCTATTTGCTTAAGGGGCTCAGTTTGGTGTTGTTCACTTTCTGAGTTTGAATCTGGCTTGTTTGAAAATTCGTGTGTCTACAAGCTTGAGGTTGAGAGGTCTAAGCATGAGCAGCCATTTGTAGAGACCGGTGATGATGCAGCCTTTTTAATCCTCTTCTAACGGCCTCAAAGCCTTCAGTTCCTCTATCACGTCCACTGCCTGAGGAGGAAATGAAAGGTCCACCAGTCCTTGTAGTATGGGAAACACAATTACCATGAATAGATGAGTGGCTATTATGCCATGCATGTCCTCTGTTTGCCTGGTCCAATCCACCCTACACCCCTCTGCTTGCTGCTTCCTGCTTGTATGGCAATCAGCTCCTGAATTGGATTCTGCTCGTTAACATTCATTTAGATATTGGCTTCTCTCTGCCTCACAATATCCCCTCAACGACTTTTAGTTTCTCTTGTTTTTTATGAATCTAATTCAATCCCAGAGTCATAGTTTAAAGCAGAATTGCTTTTAGTATTAATTTGCTGTGTCTAATTTAATTTTTGTGCTGCAAATTTCCTCCATTACAATCCGCAGAGTATACAGAAATTTATTTCCTTTTTGTGTTTAGAATATGAATCAGCTTTTAAGACTACAGGAATATTTATTATAAATCATATGTGAGTCATATTAATGGTTGTATCTTTAATTGCTTCACCCCCTAAACAGTAATAGGGATGCAGGGCAATAATCTGTTTGACATTTTCCTGTTTCTGTCTTGGTTGCCATTAGTAATTTTTTACTTTTTCTTCGAGAGCAAGCTCATTTCCCCTCCTCCATCTCTAACTATGACTGTCATGCATTTTCCTGTCTAAACTTTGAATTGACGGGGAAAATAGTGGTTTCCAGCAGTTAACCTTCAAAGCAGTAGTGTCCTCAGTTTCAGTAGGATTTTTAATTTATTATTATTATTGCTAACTGATATAATCTGGCCAGTTCTGCCAATATGAATGAGTCACAAGTATTCATGGAAGCTGATGAACCTCTGCAGCTGCCCCCTATTGAGCCCTATCATTATACACTGAAACAGGGAAAGGGCTTCTCCCATCAGGGCAATCACACCAAAATGGTACCTGGTGACAACTATGTGGAAACCCACTGCTTCTACCTGCTGTTGTGATTCTATTAAGCTCTGATTGTAGACAGAGTTTTATCTCTGGAGGACAAGAGGGAAGGTTTGTGCAGATTTTTTGTGCTGAGGCCAATGTCACCGTGTCACAACGTAGTTGTGTATTTTCAATCCATCAAGGTTACTGTCTGTTGAGAGGGGATCACGAGGCAAGTCAGATCCAGCTAGCTGATTGCTAAGAAAAATGGGAGTCAGCTCAGCGGCTTAGATTCATGAGTTCAGTCTGAGTAATCCAAGCACAGAATGAACCTCTTTAAACCAGGCAATGAAGTTCATGGAGTGCAGCTATCTAGGCGAGAGCTTCCACAATTTGGTGCAATTGTTGCACAGAAAGAAAACCCTCCTGCTAATGCTTTGGTCCTGCTGGGCCTTTGTTGCTCTGCTAGTTCACTGCACCGTTGAGTTTTTCAGGGTTTCATTAATCTTCCTAAGTGGCTAGACAGACATCCAGTGGTAGTATATTTACTCAAGTAATGGACCTGAGTACAGTTTGGAAGTTTTTTCCATTTAATGCTACAGTATGCCTGGATTTCAGGAGGATTTTATGTTTTACTCACCAAATTTATTTGACTATATTGTGTGTATAGCAATAGATACTTCTTTTTTGTAGAGTAACATTTTTTATTCAAAGCAAATGAACTGTGACACAAACAATAAATATATAAAGCAGTTTAAAGTATTTCTGCTTTGGCCGGATGCAACATTAAAATGCTCCTTACATGTTAATGTAATAAATGATTAATCATTTAGTTTGTGAAAACCTCCTATAATACTATAAGGTTTGAGAGTCCAAAGTAACATCTTCAAATGCCTTGTTTTTTTTTCCAAAACAGCTAAAACCCACAGATTTTCCATTTAAAATGATATGCAGTAAAGACAATTTAATGAGCTGCACATAAGACAAAAAGACATTATGACAAAAATATAAACAGTCTAAATATAAAATGAATACAAAACACCAACATTCTTCTTGATTAGACTGGAAAAAATTAAATGAATATTAAAATGTTTGCTGATTTATTTTCAGTCCACAAACTAATCAGTTAATGGACTAATTGTTTTAGCTCTCACACCAAGTCTTTGTAAGGAACGGAAGGTTCATCATACACACACACACAGAACTGCTTCTTCTCCAGTCACGAGCACTCTCAGCTGAATGTCACTTTTATAAGCTTCATTTATCACTTGACATGATGTAGAAACGCAGTAAGAAAAGTATTTGCATACTGCTGCATCAGGCACAGTTTTGTTGACTTGTAGAGCAGAGTGATTCTCCCAACAAATTTGTTTTGAGATGCTGAGGAGAATGCTACACCCAGGCCATTATCATTTTACGCTGTAACAACCACTCAGGATTTATCGCCCATAGGACTCTTCCGTCAATACACTGCACTGCAGATAAATTAACCCAATGGCATTCCTTCCCTCACGACAGGAACGGGAGAGCCTCTGCTTTCTGAATCATATCCAGGAATGTGTTTCAGTGAGCCATATAGTTTTATGATATTATGTGTTGGGGGAAATGTTTGTGGCATTAAAGAAAGGCTGTATAAACAAGAACTATGACTGAGTATAAATTAATCATGTTTGTATAGCTACCACTTAAAATAATGGTGAATATATTAGACTGCTTATACAGTATGTTCATTAATTAATTTGATTCATCTACTGTGCAGCTTTTGCTCATAGTATCATATGGCTTTATGCTCCTTCCTGGCCCTCCTGGGATTTTTGTGCTGGAGGATGTGCTCAGAGGCAACAACCTGCTCATCACTAGCGTAAAGACAGACAAGGAAAAAAAAACAGTCTGGGCCAGACCCAGGGCACACAGCTGTTCAGAGACAGGCAGGGAATGAATGCTGCGCCAGCTGCAAAGCTGCATTTTAATGCAGGAAAAAAAAAAAAACAATACGAATAGAAAAGGAGAGAACAAGAAAGAAGAAAAGCCTGTGTGTATGGCCGTTGGTAAGAACAGTATTCTGATGCCTGTAGTGGCATGAAGGGTGGCCATATTGCCTTCCCCCTGAAGAATCGGAGTGCCTCCATATCCCTCTTCTGGCTTTGAAATAGAGAACTTGGAGCAAATCCACAAATCTGAAATCTTTGTGTTTTTTCAAATTCAAGAAAGGGACCATGGAAGTTAAGAAACTGTGGGAAAGGGAGAGAATGGATGACAGGATGGCAGCAGCTGAGAGAAAAATGTCAATAATGAAGAGGAGGTCCTCAATCAATGTTGTGGGAGACAAATGGAAAAAGGGAGCAAAACCAATGTACCCTAAACCAAAAGGTGACATATTGTTGTATACTGGCAAGTAGAGATGTACTGTAACTAAAGGTGTTACAAACTACAGTAAATCTCTGGCACTCTTTTCCCCCTGA